AAAGACTGATTTATTTCTCTTGATTTCTTCAAAACCCTAACATATTCAACATTTACTTTACACACTCGAATGCATCAATCTTTGTGCACATATTTAGAGATAACAAATATGAGAGGATTACATGCTATTATATTCATCTCGTAATAATGTTTTTGTTCTTTAATACACTTAATCTTTGGTATATGATTTTGCTTGCAATATAGTGGAATGCGGTGGCCATTCCCAACAACATATAACATGTTGACATGACATGTATTAAAAAAACACATTTATTCAATATCTATACTTCACACCTATGAACAAACAAAGGTGGAGGATTGAACTTTTGACCTTTTGCTAGAAAACGTATCAACTGACATAACATTGTTCTAATTGATTTTGATTAAATGCTTTACAACTAAGTATAAAACATAGAAGTATATTTGTTTCCAACATATACCATTGCTTCATTTGATAGCCATAAACACAAAAGCATTTTACACACACACACACACACATATATATATATATATATATATATATATATTTATGATTAGGTCGAGCTTAGACATACGATAAGACATGTAGTTTTCAACATTTAATAGTACAACTCAAAGGCTTATAAATGCTTGTAATATATTTTATACATAATTATTAAGAAGTGGACTTTAAGCCTAACTCAACCATACAAAATCGGCTTGTAAGGTCAGGTTTAAACCCATATATATACTCTAAATCGACCTTATCTCTAGTCGATGTGAGACTTTCAAAACTGTTAGAAATAAAGAGACTTGTTTCTCAACACCAAGAGGGGGGTGAATTGGTGATTTATAAAAACTAACGCTTTTCAAATCTTTTTGCAAAATTAGAATGATCTTGAAACTTTCTTGCAATGTAAGTAAATGCGTATGCGGTTTAAAGTAAAAGAGATAGGGAAAGAAGAACAAATGCAAGGTTTTTATCTTGGTTCGGCCTCCATCTAGTCACCCTTCCAATCAACCTTAGATTGAAGGATATTTCACTATAATGATTTGGCAATTACACCAAAGGTTTCACAGTGAACACACTCTCACAATGTAAACATCTTTCTCAATCACAATCAAATATAGAAACGAAAAGACATGCACAAAAATAAAGTTTTTGCTACAAAAACCCTTTGAGAAATCCCTCTCAAAGTCCAAGAGCTCCAACAAGTGCAAAAACCTTTTCTGATCACAACAGATACACCTTAGTAGTGCGAATCAGATCATCCAATTACGTTCTCAAGGATCCTTCGAGTTCTTCACAATCTCACTTCTGATTCCTTGGAGCGTATATGTAATCTATAAAACTTTCTCAGATCAAAGATTGTCAGATATGAAAAGTGTTACAATTGATCAAAAGTCGCTTAGAAACACAAGTAATGCATCAATATAGTTTTATCATACCGACGCAAATTAAGATTATGTTAGTATGTAATCGGTTACATATAAAAACCAGGTGTACAGAATACAACTAATACAACTCTTAATTGGAATGCACAATTAATGTAATCGATTTGCATTTAATGCTAGTCAAACGTATTTAAAAATATGACTGTAATAGCAATTATGACTAAGCTGAAAATAGTTTTCAAAAGATAACAGACTTAATTGATTACATAACTTATGTAATCGATTAATCTAAGATCTTAAACAGAGTTTGAAAACTTTTTCTCTTCAAAAACTCATCACAACACATTTGAAAAGATCTATGCAAAGACATGAGTTTTAATCGATTTAACACTTAATGTATAGATTCAAACTGTTTTCTTGTCACAGTTCAAAACATAAGTTGTCTGATGAACTTAATTGATTGCAACAATATTGTAATCGATTATGTCATGCAAATTTGCTTTTGTGCTTGTGGTTTTTATCACACATAACATACAGTATGCATAAAAAGATATAAACACATCATAAGCAGTAGTATGTTGAACCAACAGTATGTCAAACATATGCATTTATCAGCAATAACATTGTCATTACACATATGTATTTCATCACACAGAGAAACATATTTTTGTAGTGTCATGACAACATTTGGTTGTTACAGTCAATGTTTTGTCATATAAAAAACAACACTCAGGGAGTGAGTTCATCACTCATATGGCGTCCCCTTATCAACAAAAACTATCCCTCATGTCGAGGATATAGACATCTCATGTGTGAGACTAGACATTAAGGTGGTGAAAGGGAGGTTTGCACTCATGGATAACATCTCGGATAAACGGTGGAATGAATGATCAAACAAATACAAACATCGCTAGGATATGCTCTAACTATGGCTTTGATACCATGTTAATAAGTGGAATTTAAGCCTAACCCAACCCCATAAAACTAGTTGTAAGGTGAGGTTTGCACTCACATATATACTCTAAATTGGCTTTATCCTCTCGTCAATGTGAGACTTCCAATAATAAAATTCTGATTTTATCACTAAAAGGATCTCATAAGAAATGTAAAATACAAATATCTCTCAAAGAGTGTGTCAAAGCTACGTGTACCAAAAACATCTCTAAAAGAATTACTTTTAACCTTTGCATAGACCACTCACCTTGTACAGTCCTAACATTTACTCATATGAGATACAAGCTATTTGAATTAGGTTTGACAAGTTACACTAAACATCAATATGTTTCTTGAAGAAGAAGTTTGCATTAAATGATGTGTGAGGAGTATATGATGTTAATAATTAATTTTAAAGAAAAATTTGAATATATCTTGTTTATGAGTAATAGGAATTGTTATAAATTATGTGTTGGTTAGGTTATTATAAATATAATAAATTTAATACAATTAAGAGATTTATAAAGTGATAAGTCTATTAACGTTTGTCAAGGTGGAAGTCGCTTAAATATATAACTTTTATGTTATATATAGATCCTCAAGAAGTATTAGTTATCTTTAAAAGTTAAGTTTTTCTTTTCTATTTTATGGAAGATTTATAAATATAATTTATACATTTTTTATGTTGGTTTATCAATTAATGTTTTAATTAATAATGTTAGATGGTATACTAAAAATGCTAATATGTTTATAAAATATGTGTATTCATTATTCTCTTTATATTAATTCTTGGTGGTTCCGGTCGGTAAAAAAAAAATTAAAAATCAAACAAACCTACCACATATCTTATGTCTTCACTTACATTAAGTCCACATATATTCTAAAATTGAGATTATTTTTTAATGCACGGCTTTACATTCCTATATACTGATATTTAGAGTTATTTTTGTTTTATAAACAAATTTATATGGTATTTTACTCTTTTTGAAATTTAAAAAATAATAAACCAATGATATACAAAAAGAAAAGTAAATGCAGCATCTCCATCACTCTATAAAAATTAACTTTCCTTTTATACTATTGATAATTTTACAGTTGTTTCTGAAAATAGCTTTTGTTCATATTATAAATTGTATATATTAAATACAAAAAAAAATAATATAAATATTAAGTTTTAGTTTGTTAAAATAAGATATTATTATGATTACGTGTAAGTACATCATTGCATCCATTTTTCTTATAATAAGAAAATTTTTTTAAAATTAATTTTATCATAATTATTAAAATAAAAATATATATTATTAAAAATTGATATAAAATAAATAATTTTACAATTTTACCATAAATATTTTTTTCATATATTTAATTAAATTTAGAAAATAAAATAATTACAAAACTTAAAAAGGAAAATGATAAAATAAAATATATTAATAAGAATAAAATTAATAATAAATTATATATATATATATTAAAATAATAATTATAAAGTAATTTTTTATCACTAATTATAGAAAACACATGCCCACGTGTATTATTTTTTTATGAGATAATAAAATTATGGGATAAATATGTTTTTAGTCTCTTAACTATCAACCAGATTTGTTTTTAGTCCATTTTTTAAAGTAAAGTACATTTTAGTCCTCCTCCTTAAGGAAACCTTAATTTTTGGTTCTACAAAACTAACACCGTTAAAAACCAACTGATGTGACTAATGTAGAGGGACTAAAAACAAATCCGTTTGATAATTGAGGGACTAAAAACATGTTTAACCCTAAAATTATTATAAATATAAATAGTTTTTATAAATTTTATTTATTTATTTTAAATAATTTTTAATTAAAATATATGATTAAAATGATCAAATAAAAATGATGTAATTTAAAAATACGGTTATTTAAGAAATAAATTTGATAAAATAATCATTTTAATTAAGAAAACTTTTATTTAAAAGATAAATTTAAAAAAAAATCTCTTTATATAAAAATATTGATATATACTAATACTAAAAAAAACATTCTGTAATGTGTCATATATATATATATATATATATATATATATATATATAAATTAAGTATTCATTTTATATTATTGGGTGCATGAATAAAATAGATAGAACAAAAAAATTAGAAAATAAAGAAAATGAGATTAAGTTTAGTTTTTTTTATTAACTTTATAAGCTATCAAGCTTTAGTCTCTAATAATTTGTTTTGATTTTGATTTAAAAAATACTTAGTTTTAAACAACAAAATAAAGTGTCTAAGATGTCGTTCAAAGATAAAATAAAAATATAAAGTTAGAACATTATAAACAAAAATTAAATAATTTAGATGGGGTAAAAATACAAGCAAGGGCCAATTAGCCCACCCATTGTAGGCCTAAAAGGGAGTGTGGAGAGAAGAACACAATTAATAAATTAATCAAACAAATAAGTAGCAATTAATTACAGTACAAAACGATTTAAAAGCCAATATACACGTGAGATTATGATATAGAAGAGTCGGAGAAGAAAGTCAACGGAAGGAAGTGGTGGTTTTATTTTATTTAAAAAGAAAAACTAAAAGGCGACAATGTTTTTGTACAGTGTGTGATGAAAAAGAAGCAAGAAAGGAAGTGGTCTTTGCTTTCTCACCCAGGACCATGATTTTTATCGTGGGTTCACCTTATATTATTAATTAATTAATTACTTAATTTATTATTAACTTTTATATTTTATTTTATTTTATTTCCCAAGGATGGATGCCCCTCCACTAAATCAGCTAACTGTGTCACGTTTTGTTAGTGTTGTGGATGCTGTGAATGAATCTGCGATGCGATACGATACACCCACGCATCACATGCATATGCATATGCGTATATACGCGTAGATCTGGAGGAGTGAGTAGAACAGAGAAGAAGGAGAAAGAACAACGCAAGCGGTGTTTGTTTGTTTCAAACGCACGAGGCCATGTCGGGATTCAGAGACGCTCACTGTTTTCCGCGTCTTGTCCTCGTTGTGAATCTCGTTCTCGCTCTTCTTCACGCCCTCGTTGCTTCCCTTGCCTTCTTTCAGGTTTTGGCTTACCCCGCTTCCTGCATTTCTGCCTCGCTCCGCAATTTAGGTTTTCTCCTTTAATTTCGATAAGGAACGTGCTGAAACGATAGAATGTGTTAAATTCGGGAGGATAAAAGAAACGTGCATTTGAGCCTTTTTGTCTGTTTCTTCTCCGTCATCGTGTTCAGTGACGGTTTGCCGAATTCAATCATTTGATGTTATGAACGGTTTTAATTTTCGGGGTTTTTTGTGTAACCGGTTGTTTTAAATATTCAGTTGTCAGTTTTAGTAGTATGCTTGTGTGGTTAATTGGTTTAATTTTGGCCACACTTTAAGTTGACTTTTGTGGTTGCACTTTGTCACTGTTAAGTTTTTAGAATTCGATGAAACTGATTTGAGATATTAAGCTCTGTGCTAAAGTGGAAGTGCTGAAGATTGAAGTTATTTGCGTTTACTTATTGTCGGGTTTTTCTTTTCTTTTTTGTTTGCGTGCTCCAGTTGACGAGGATTCACTTGAGAAACGCGCAGCTTGGTTTGACTCGGCAAAAAGTAAGTGCATTTTAAAGGCTACTTGTCGAATTATTTGCTATGACTGGATCTTTTCTTAATAGCTAAATCTGTTAATGTTGTAAATTTATTAAATGATCGGTTGCCATTCGCCACTTACTGGTAGTGCTGTAGCCTCTGTGTATAACAGTGCCGTTGGAATTATGTCTATACCGATTATCAAGATTTGAGAGGGTTTCCATTGTAGCATTCGCTAGAGCATTGGGATTGAGTTATTGGTCAAATGTGTGTATATTGAAGGCTAGAAGAATGTGTTTTCATGACTACTTGAAGTTACTGTTTCTTAATTTCTTGATGGAAGTATGTGCTGAGTTCAACTGCCTTTTATTATCCTTTCTGCCTTGCATCCTTTCTATATTTTGCTGATGATTTGGGTGTTTAGATATGTGTGTAAGTATCTTGAATTCTGAATGTATGCAACAATTTCTCATCACAATGAAATGTCTGACTGTCTATGAAATAGTTCAAGTTAGTACTGTGCTTTATAATAAGAAAGGACAGAAATATTGCAATGCAGTTAGGCATTTCTATAACATTGCTAATAGGAATATTCTACTTCTATCTTTGAATTTTATGTATGGATAAACTTTTATGGATTTTTAGTTTCCATGCTCTACTCAGTTCTAGGCTTTTTTACTTGCTATTACCCCAGGTTTCTGTTTATACATACTAAGCTTCTAATGAAATGTAAATATGGTGCGTTGCAGGTGTTCCATCTGTTGATTGGCTCTTCTAACTTAGGTTAGTTGTATTTTACTTTTGATGTTCAAGTATATTGTTACGTGTTCCGTATTTGTCATCATTTCCTCTCTTCTATCTATGATTAATTTAAGCCATTTAGAATTTCATGGTTTGCTACACTATAGGAGCCCATTTTGATATTTTGTCCATTTTTTGTTGTAATAACTTGTTGGGTTTAGATAGATTTGGTTCGTGGCTACATCATTTCATTAGAAAATTTGTCTTATTAATCGTCTTGACATTTATCAATACTGCCAATTTTCAAGTTTGTTTTACCTGAGAGTAGCTCTATACTTTGGCAGTTTGACCTGCTTTTCCTATTTCACTTCTTAGTTTTCTCTCTCTATTCTAGGTTGATACCTTCTTGGAGATGCCTATATTTGGTGTTTCTCTACCAGACATGCATTGTAGTTGTCACGTCTTATAGTAGTGTAAATTTTGATTGATAACAGATCTGCTTGATACTTGACTTTTATTTTCCCTTATGCCTCTAGAAGTGTCCCCAAGATACCAGATGTATGATTCAAGTGAAAAAGAAATAACTATCTACACCTGTGAAGCACTTACCAGTTCTGAAATGTCAGGCTATTAGCAGTGCTATATATACAGAGAATTTGAATACCGAGGAGAAAAGGATTTGTATTCCTTACTTCTGAGCATTTTCTTTTCCATTTTTCATAAGAATGTATGCTGAAGATGGGGATGAATCCCAGCCAGACCCCTAAAGGCTATAGGACTGACAGCTTGGGCCTTGGTCAGCATTCTTTGGTATATTGGTAAACTTGAATAGTAAGTCTGCCTCAGAGGCAGTTACCCTGTTACAACCTTTAGAAACTATAGTTTCCATTCCCCCTCTCCTCTCTTCCATGTATGTGTGCGTATAGACTAAATTTCTATAATGAATATTTCACCAAATCCACTTGCGGGTTAGAAATTCAAAATGGAAATCATGCTATTTCATGTTAATTATAAATTCTTTAAATTNCTCTAGAAGTGTCACCAAGATACCAGATGTATGATTCAAGTGAAAAAGAAATAACTATCTACACCTGTGAAGCACTTACCAGTTCTGAAATGTCAGGCTATTAGCAGTGCTATATATACAGAGAATTTGAATACCGAGGAGAAAAGGATTTGTATTCCTTACTTCTGAGCATTTTCTTTTCCATTTTTCATAAGAATGTATGCTGAAGATGGGGATGAATCCCAGCCAGACCCCTAAAGGCTATAGGACTGACAGCTTGGGCCTTGGTCAGCATTCTTTGGTATATTGGTAAACTTGAATAGTAAGTCTGCCTCAGAGGCAGTTACCCTGTTACAACCTTTAGAAACTATAGTTTCCATTCCCCCTCTCCTCTCTTCCATGTATGTGTTCGTATAGACTAAATTTCTATAATGAATATTTCACCAAATCCACTTGCGGGTTAGAAATTCAAAATGGAAATCATGCTATTTCATGTTAATTATAAATTCTTTAAATTGTATAGGTCAAGTATTGAAGTCTTAGATTTTGGCAGTTAGTCCAACTCTTATCTGTTGTACAGTGAAAGGCAGGCATATATTGGGAATCTTGCATTTAATGGAAAACAGATTTCGTATCTTTTCATAGATCATGATAAATTTGATTGTGTGCTGAGATGAGGCCCCAATTTTGCCTTATAAGTTATAACTTTATTAAGGTCAATTCATTGTTCATGCTCCTTGATCATAATTGAAAACTTGGCATGTCTCACATTATTTTTGGCCTTCCAAGATTGCAAAGGCTGATATTATGGGTGCCTTGCATGCCCATCTAAATAATCTGAGTCAGTTTGGCATATGTATAGGGTTTGGGCAATGAGCTTAATTAAAACCACCTTAGTTTCATGCATAACGGTTCTTCTGTGCAAAAGAGGTATTCTTTGATAACATCTTTGTCGTCTATTGTTCAATATGTGAAAGGTTCTGTTTTATAAACTTGTAACAAAATACATGCGTTGATGAATAAAATGAGCTGTCAATAATTCATATCCTCCTCATATTTTCTCTTTAATTCTTCTAAACTACTAAATTTAAAAATTTCAGGTTATGTCATTTATTTGGCATTGACACTTATTGCTGCTTGCAAGGGATGGACCTTTTGGTCACACTCTTGTGGTTTCATGTTTATGGGTAAGCCTCCATTCTTTATTGACTAGACACGTGTGAAATATTTTCATCCTAAATTAAAATCTCTAAATTCTTGAAAATTGTTTTGCAGCTTTCCCCAAAGTACTTTTTTTTGCAGCATTTCTTCTACTTTTATCCTTCTGGTATGTAATCTTGCTTATTGTTATGACATTTAAATTTGTTTCATGAACTGGCACTGCTTGCTAGAAATATTTACTTATAGCAAGTACTTGCAAACCCTCTTTAGTAGGGATTTAAATGGATAGGTGCTAGGTAAAACTACATGTTCCAATACCCACATGCTTATGTAGGTGGTAAATTTAATGACATTACCCTTTTTAAAGATATGATTGGATTACATTAAATAGGGAATTATTGTATGATTTGATTGCATCAAATAGGGTAATATCTTAGAAAATGTTTTTCTATTATTAGGTATTGATTTTGTTCCTTATTATTTCATCTCTTCATCGTAAATAGAATACTCGTGTGTACAAAATACACAATTGCAAGCAAGTATTTCAATATGAAATAGGAGTAGTATCATTCTCACCTATTTGGTCATTCATCTGTTGTAAGATAATGACTTTTTCTCTAGGGACATTGGCCCTGACTTTGTCAAACTGGCTTTTTTTCTATTGGGTTAAACAATATCCTCAACTTCATCACTTTGACTCTCTTGAGTAAACAATGCCCATTGCAAAACTTTTTTGCTCTTTGAAGCCTCCACGCCCTTGGAGCATATTTTGCTCTCTATTTAGCACTTTTGCTCTTTGGTAGTTGCAAGCACTCTCTAATAATTTTTTCTCTTCAGCAACATTGAGCGCCCTTTTCTCATTTTGCACCATATCAATTATTGCATTCTTAGGGACCCCTTCCTCTTCGGCAACCACCACACTCTTTGAGCATTTTTGCTCTCTGGAAACCACCACCCTATTTGACCATCTTTTGCTCTCTGTTAGTCAAACAAACCTTAATGCAAACGAAGTTTCCCTTCTCTAGCAACCATTATGGTACCTAATTCTGGACCAGTAGTTGCCATGTGCCACTAGCTCCATGACATGTCTCTTGACGCACTTGCAACACACTGATGCATGAAGCTTTGTCATTATTGACTTTGTCAACTCCAACAACCAACTGACTAACTTCTCCATTAAGTCTCTCAATGGATCTCGTGTTGATGACATTTGCAACAAGCTTGAATCACATGATACTTATGCTCCAACTTGTATAATTTGATTTACATTAAATAGGGAAATATGATTTGATTACATAAATAGGTAAATATCTTAGGAAATATTTCCCATTATTAGTTATTGATTTTGTTCCTTATTATATATGTTCTTCATTATAAATAAGAGGTTGTACAATATGCAAAATTACAAGCAAACCTTTTAATACCCTGCCTAATGAGCACCTATAAGAGGACCCATAATTATGTTGGGTGTAACTGTGATGCCTATATCTATACCAATGAGCATGTATGCATATGTGATGAACTTAAAGGAAAAAAAAATAAACAAGTTGAAAAGAAGTTTAAGAGAAAAGTGGAAGCTTTTATAAAATTAAATGATCACATTTGGTACTGGAAAGAAAAGTTGGAACCTATTGCATGACTCTAAGAAAAGATGCCACCTAAACATATGATGTGATTGTAGTATGTGACTTTGAACATACTAAATATCTGATGAAGAGTATTGTTTGAAGAGGTCGTTAAGGGTGGTGAGGGGTTTCATTGTGCATCCGACCAGAACCAACATGTACAGTGTCATGCACAAATAGATGATTTCAATTGACTCGTGATGGTTGCAAAATTGTAATTGTTGGTGGTGAAGAACATTAAAGAAGTCAATGGTAAGGTACAAAATAAGGCAATGCATTTGGACCATTTTCCTCTTCTTCTCCCTTCACTTCTTTACATACTAAATATCTTGAGACAGTATTGGTTTGAAAGAGGGTCATTAAGGGTGTGAGGTGTTTCAATTTGTGCATCACAGACCAACATGTACAGTGTCATGCACACAAACAATGATTTCGACTTTGAGTCGTGATGGTTGCAAACATGTAATTGTTGGTGGTAGGAAGTGAAGAACATTAAAGAAAGTCAATGTAAGGTACAAAATAGGCCAATGCATTGTAGGAGAATTGTGTGACAATGCAAAGCATTGTGGACCATTTCCCTTTTCTTTTCCCTTCACTTCTTTATACATGAGATTGTCCTATCGTCATCCATCTACAATTTCTAAACTATCCAAACTCTATCACCTCATAAATGCTTTGGTTTCTCCATTGTCTTTCCAAACTATTTAAGTTCCCAAGAAGTACTTATCCACCTAGGTGGAAAGAACCACCTTTCACAGCAATTTCATACTAAAGATTTGTGCCCTCTAAAATATTCGTAGGCATTGAAGTTGTTCAATCTTCTTCTGGAATTATCATTAATCAACGTAAATATTGACTTGCTTACTTGTTAGAGTAAGGAAGAAAGAAGGCTTAGAAGAGGGGTTTTTCCTTATTAGCTAGCATTGTTGGACTAACTTCAGGTTATGACAAACTTAACTCACTCAATCGAGCGCAATACCCATCCTTCTTGAGCTTCCCATTAACCCATTTAATTTGAATAAAGGATGAACTAGCCCTCCTTAAGACATTGGTTTCAAAACCAGTTGCGGAAGATCAGCTAAGCATCCAAAGATAGAAATAAAATACCTAATCTTGACTTCTATGGTTTCCCTAAAGCTAAAACTCCTCTTCTTGTCTTGAAGTGAACGCACTCGGATGAAGACATTCTAGTTCAAAAACGAATAACTAATATTTGACTAAACCTTGTGTTACAACCCATTCTAATAAACAATCGTATCATCTTGATCACTGATCACCAAGATCAAATCCTGGTATAAGAAAAGACCTGAATCACCTTGAACATTCTTCTTGGAACTGGAATGCATGACTTTTGTTCCTTGCGATACTCCTTTGGATCCCAATATCAAGTTCTTCCGAGTTAGGTGTGGCCATGAAAGACCTGGAAATGATATCCGCCTGGTAGGCAGACTCAACTATCTCACCCACACCAGACCTGACATCTTTTCACGGTTGTGTGTAAGCCAATTTCTAAATGACCATTGTGATAGCCATTGGGATGTTGTGACAAGTATTGTTCAATACATAAAAAATGCTCTAGGACGAGAATTATTGTATGAAGACAAAGGCAATTACTAAGATCACTTGTACTCTGATGCGGAATTAGGTGGGATCACCATCAAATAGAAGCATCCATTCTGGTAATGTTAGGGAAAGGAAACCATATCTCATGGAGAAGCAAGAAGCGAAATATAGTTGCCAGATCAAGTGCAGACGAAGAATATCGTGCTATGGCAACAACCACTTGTGAGCTTACATGGCTTAGGCAACTACTACTACAACTAAAAATAGGGGACATTCCATGAAACAAAGCTTATTTGTTTATGACAATCAAGTTGCACTTCAATTGTCTATCAAACCTAGTCGTCCATGAAAGAACCAAAAACACTGAGATATGAATTGATTGCCACTGTGTTAGAGGAAAGGTGCTTTAGGAGAAATCCTACTGGTTTTGTCAAGCAATCAAATGACTGACATGTTCACCAAGCCCTTAGAAGCCCTTGGGGCGAGTACATTTGTTACAACTGGGTCATATGACATATATGCTTCAGTTTGAGAGAGTTTAGAATTAGAATGTAATTAACTGTTACAAAAATGTGGAAATTGATAGGACAATTCTAGGAAATTAGGATGATTGATTCCTGATTATTAGGTGGAAATTTATTATAATTGATTCTATAAATTAGTATAAATACATATTGTGTGGTCTGCATCAAACATACAATACATTTAGCAAATATACCTTTCAATAAATATGTTCTTCTAACTGGTGTATTTACTTAGTTCTTTGTTTATGATGATGCATAGTGATTAAAGATGTGACATGATCATGTTGGAATCAAAAGCCCAACACTTATCCAATCATTTCAAACCAAGCTGTAGGGAGTGAAGTTTCTTTGAATTAAACTATCTGACTCAGAAGCCAGACATTGTTGTATCTCGGGATATTTAAGAGACTAGTTTGTTGTTTAGCAAGCCAATTTTTACTTTTATATACCTATATGTTAATCTTCTACCTAAGGAAAATTCCTATTTTGAAGTTGGGAAGATAAATTACTAGATTGTGACAAGGCCAAATGTTTCTTTTATTGAAAGTGTCATCATTAGTTTCTTAATCCCCTCATGTGTGATAGTCATTGGGATGTTGTACCTTGATTTCAAAGAAATATTTAAGGCATCACTTGGAAGAGGTATAGGCAAGTAAAGGTTACTCTGATATAGTTGCCTACATAGATGCAAATCTAGTAAGCTTTGTTGGGCAAATCCAAGGGAAGAAACAAAGGAGAGAAATTCACCAATGAGCCACTAGCTAACAACATAAGTGAGTATGATATTACCTTCAACTCAAAAACCTTAAGTATAGGTTTAAGGGTCTTTCTCACTTATATGTTGCTTAACTTGTTCATTTTTACTCAATGTGGAACTTCAACTCATGCTTAAACTCCAACAATCTCCCCCACAAGTGAGTCTTATCACATTGATACGCTTTCCCACAAGCAAAAGCCTTGATCCATAAAATATCCATATTTGTATTGTCATTCACCTCAACGAAAATTTTCATGTATATCCCCACTAGGAAAACTTTCAACATAAGGGTGATCCATGGATCCACTAGCAACTCCATCGTACTCGTCTAATGTTATCAATAGGATGACACGCGTCAACACTTGTATACTTGTTGGGCCATCCAAGGCAAAGAAAAATTGCGCGGATAATTCACTAATGGGCCACACGACCACCAAGGAGATTTAAAACTCTAGTCTCAACACAAAATCTTAAGACAAAGATTTTTGGTCTGTCTAAGTTCTATCTCAATATGTTAATTTCTTTCAATGTGAGACTCTAACTCACTTGAACATCAACAAGTTGTCCAATTAATCGGTTATTTAATGGCTATTGTGCTCTTTACAATATTTTCATTTCCAATCTTATCAAAAATCCATTATAGCAACACCATGATGGAAATCGGTGGCAGAGTTATAGCTTGCCACCCACCATAACATGGTAGTGGCAATGTAGGTTTTCCATGGCAGCCCACCGTACTAGCTTTGGGTGTCGCAGAAGAAACATGGCGAAAGTTATGGAGTACAGCACAGTTGCCCGTGGGAAATCAAAGTGTAGCTTGGCCCTTGTGCGAAACGAAGGACTAGGGCAATGCCCATGCGAAACAAAGGAGAAGAAACCTAGGGTCACAAGACCTGCAACGCCCTTTCTTTCTTTTCTTCTTACTTTCCCAACAGAGTCATCCCAAGTGTTTTTTCTTTTAAAAATAGTTGGGGTGTACAACTAGCCCCAAACCAAACGTTACAATAGAATATTGACCTAGGTCACCCTACCCACATTGAACAAAACGGTCTCCTTTATTATTGTGTAGTCTGGCTGCTGATGGTGCTACTGTTGCTGCTACCACCGTGGACTACAAGTCTACTCTACCCACTTTGAACCAGCAGCTCCTTCATTGTTTTGTTTTATTTTAAGTTTTACACATGAAATTGTGGTGTTTAAATTTGATTTTATGCTATTTGAATTTCTTAGACATGACATTATTATTAGTTATTCATTGTCTTTGTTTGTTTTTGAATATAATTATAATTATATTTTTGGATTTTTTTGAATTATCTATATCTATATATATATATATATATATATATATATATATATTGATATATTTTATTTTATTTTTAGCGACAATACTTCCACGATAACCTTTTATTGTTTCCAATATATTTTCACGAAGGATTTTTGCGTCTCTAATATTTTCCGTTATCTCATATCAATAACTCTTCATACAATTGAAGAGTGAAAAGAATAATGTTTTTTCAATGTCCAATATAGAGGCCCAGTGCTTATGGCTCTTACCACATTGTACATCACCTCCTAATCCAATTTTGAACAAATGAACCGTGGTGAGATTGTCTATCATTTAATTCATGAAAAGATTCTCTATGTAGATCACCACATCATTTGTTATTGTTAGTCAGTATTCGCAATGGCAGAAATCGGTGCAGTTATAGCTTGCCACCACAACATGGCGGTGGCGATGCAGATTTTTCATGGCAGCCCAGTAGCAGATTTGGGTGTAACAAAATAGAGTTGCGGGACAATCATGGAAGAAGTTGCAAAGAGTGCCAATGCAGCACCCATGTGAAACAAAGGAGTAGCAGTCGCGCACATCTGAAACCAACCAGTAGCATCAGTGAGAAGAAGACTCTGGTCTGTGTGATCCGACCCATAGAGTGAAACCTTGATCATCTTTCTTTTCTTATTTTCCCAGTGGTACTCAGCCCAAGTGTTTTTTTCTTTTAAAAGAGTAAGTTGGGTTGTACATCCCAACCCAACCCAAACATCACAACAATATTGACCCAAACCACCCTACCCAATTGAACAACGTCTCGGCTGACCCTGCCGCAGATTCCATTGCTGCCACTGCCATTGCTGCTGCTTCTGCTGACACCATCGTTACACTGATGCCATAATTATGGCTGCTGTCACCACTTTGAACCAGCAGCTCCTTCACTGTGTTTTTGTTGTTATTTTAAGTTTTAATTTGATTTTATTGTTATTTGAATTTCTTAGAGAGGATATTATTAGTTGTCTTTTGTTAGATAGAAACATCGCAAACAAAAATAGAATAAAATCAAGCCATAAAGGGTTATTGTTATTGTGTGATATGTGAGATGACCGTATCTGTGGGATAAGGATTGTGGTTATTGTTACATAGCAAATATGAACTTGTCTTCTTTGTGATGGGATTCAGTATGCAGGGTTGACCTTTTGCCATCAGGCAGATGATGATGATGACTACGAAGGAAGTTTCTGTGAGACCCCTTTCTGGAAAAACATCCAATGAATCATCATAACATAGCAAGCATTAGATAGCCATCGAAAGTGCTTTCCTCTTCGGCTCTCTGTGTTGAAAATCGGCAAAGATTGTGATTTTGGTATATGGGAAACAATGAAATGTTCTTATGAGTTTTGATTGTGGTATCTTTTCATCTCATTATAACTGTTGTCTAATAGTTTACTTTAAAATGTATTTCATTTGTGTATAATGATGATTCATGTTTTTCCAGGTTACACTGCTAGTTTTCATTACCATGATGGCATTTGCTTTGATAATCTGGATTGGGCTAGAAATAATCCCATTGATTCTGAAGTGGCCGCCTCAGGTATGGGCACTGTCATTTTAGCTTTTGTTTATATCTCAATGAAAAAAAGACTTGGATCTAAAATGGACTTGCTGAGTATTTAGTTAATGACAAAAATACAGTGTATTGTTTGGATTCATATAGCCAACACCCAGTGAAACAAGGGCTTTGGTTAGTGTTGTTTATAATCAATCTTTTAAGTAGCACAGCATAGCTCTGCCATAACAGCTAAGCGGACCCTGACTACAGGGGCTGCTTTAGTAAAGCGGTTAGTATACCAGGCCAACTAGAAGATTGCATTGGGACCTATTTTGGCACTATAGCAGTAGTGTGCTGATTCGAAAAAACCCTTTGAAGTATGGTTTGTGACCAAAATTATTTTGCAGGTATATTTGGATCTTTCTGCTATTGGAATGATTTTGTTGGGAGGAGCATTAGCCTGTTATGGTGAGCAACTGCTATTCTATTTCTCCATTTTGAGTTTCAGTAGATTTAATATCATGGAGTGGAAATTTCCATTTGCAAATAAAAATTCATTTTACTAGATGAATTTATACTCTAAAAGGTCCTGTTCATAGTTTGGTGGGGGTGGGTTTAAGTGTTAATGGCTAGTGAGTTGTGATGTGCCTCTTTTATGTCAACTGTTTTTATTATAATGTGCTGTATCTTAACAGGAATCCTATTATGCTTGAAAATGAGCAAAGTGAGAGCCGAGAAACCTTCATCTGAAATGTGGAAGGACTACATTTCTGTTTCACTCGAGTATTTGACAATGTTTAGCCTTTGGTGATTTTGAATCTTTTTTTCAGGGGCATGCTAGACTGACCCGTGGCTCCCATCACTTAATCTAACTTTTTCATTCTGATGAATATTATATGCTTATTTTAATTTTAAATATTTGACGTATGTTGAGATAGAAATATACAGGCTTTTGCTGTCAGGCTTGCGTGTTTATTAAATTTAAATACATTGTTAACGGATTCAGTTTTCTCAGGTTGCAGGTTTAACTATTGTCTCTGTACTATGCTTCACATCAAGTTCATGTGTAGAACTTTTAACTGACATCCCTGTATGTATGAGTGAAACGAGTGCAAGAATTCTACTTTTTTCTTGATAAAAAGGTTTAAGATTTCCTGAACTTTCTTGTTATATTATTTTGTATTATGCAGATCAGTATAATGGCATCAGCAGCGTTGAATGATGCATACACCTATTCTTCTACTCGTTTTGTATTATTTTGGGGGTTATGTGCTTTCATCAGTTACCAGTTACTAGTCCACTTGCAGAAATCTTCTATTCTTTCCGTAACAGTATTTGAAACTGTATAAATTCTGCTGTGTAATAATTGGTTTATGTTCTCCATTCAATTTTCACATAACGTATTATTGCCAATAACTTTCTGAAGTGATTTCATCTCCTTTATATCTGAATATGATGCTTCTTCCAGGTTCATCAATACCTTCAGCAGTGATACTGTGGGTAATGAGAGAATTACCACCTGCAGAAGCTGCTGTCGTACCAGAAGAATCTAGAACAATAACTTTTGTTGCTGATAGTTCAATTGCAATTCATCATCCTCAACGCTGGACTACGGCAACAAGCGTGCAGAATCAGGTGCCTATATCATATATATCTTCCTTTGGTTAAATTATCCATGCAGTATTCAACTTTTGATTTTAGAATATACAAACCGTTTCACATCATTTTCTAAAAAAATTTTTTTATCCTTCTGTTGATTTTTTTTTTATATGAACATGGATTGCTTTGAAACTTGTTCACAATCATATTGTTTCCCTAAGAATAAAAGGGCTTTGCATTAGGGGAACGTATATGATGATCCAGAATAGTCAAATAGTACATCTATGCGAAATATAACCTTGTTTAGTGAACCAGCAAGCATGGCTCATTTATTAGTGTTATAGTAGTTATGCTTTTGTCATATGTGGCTTTGAAGATGCATAAGAACTGTTAGTGATATAAATGCTGCTAGTATTGCAGATATCAAGAGCGAGTCCTATATAGATATGCATTAACCTTTGCAAATGTCTTGTTCTGCTGGAGTTTGGACAGCTTATTGAAATATCCTCAGAATATGTTTAACCCTAGAGCGCATAAGAGAAAATGATAGATGGATGCAAGTGCTTAAGGCTGAGAGGTTTCCCTTCCCACTGTATTTATAATCTAAATCTAAATGTATATATCAGCAATTTGATATATGAAAAATTCTTTTCTTTTTACAAATTTTGGGACGCTACTGTTTCAATGCTGGTTGGGTATTTTTCAGACTTGAATAACTCCCGTCCGACATGAATATGGCTGTTGCAGGGTGACCATGTTAGCCTGCTTGAAAGCTGAATTAATCGATCTCGAGAAAGATTTTTTTTTGTCCAAATCATGCTGACTTGACTATGGGTACAAATGGTCGTAACAGTTCTTTTCTAACTGCTAGGGAAAATGTGATTCAAATCCTGTACCCCTGAAATTCATCACGACATTTACAATTTAAGAACAAAATATGCTTCAATTTAAGCCTCTACCATGATGCAGGATGCATGATCAGATCCGTGATTTGAAATATGGTTCGTATTAATGGAACCTAATTAGGTTGGAACAGTTTCAAGATCCATAATCATTTCGTGTATTTTGTTTAATTCGATTTTATTTCAATTTGTACTGATGGTCCATCAAATGGAAAGGAAAAAAACTGAAAGAATCATAAAATATTAGTAGTTTGCTGAACAATTAAAAGATGGAAATTTTATTAAAAAACCGTATACGATTTGTTGTTCTAGGATATGTTTAAATAAAGGATCCATGAATACTTTCAGTAGAAAATAAAAACAAATAAAATGGTATTTTCTGAAGAGTTAAATACTTTTTATGCCGTTAAAAGTTATACCTTTCCAAGCTTAGTTAGTCCAACGATAGTTCTAATAAATTAATGCAAATTTTCTTTTTATTTTTGTTATTTCTTAATGACATTTATAGAAAGTTTTATCCCAAACTGCCCAGAAAACTGTACTTTGAGTAATTTATAAAAAATGCTTTTATTTCTCAATTCTTTAATTACCTTTAGAGCAATGCCGAGAAAGGAATACAAACAAAATTCAGAATCTTAGTGCCAACGGTTAGGCAACTCAATTGATTTTGAATCACTATGGGGCCTAAAACGGCTTAAAAGGTGGATGCCCACTGAAAAAGGTTTTTCAATGGTGCGCCACTAACACTGCAAAACTAATCGGGGGACAAGAGCACTAAAAAAACACAACAATGCATGCAAGACCATCTTTGTTGCTTGAAATTTACACTTTTACAAGAAAATATGGCACATCAAATATAGAAAAAGAAAAACAGTCAACCAGAACTTTAGCAGCCATGTTACATAACATATCAACATAAAAGCAGCGTTGTTTCTGGAAACATATTTAAAAGCACATGACGTCAACAATTTCAAGAAACATACTTCAAACAGCGCACTATCAAATGAAATTAAAGCGGCGCTTGGCAGCAGCATATAAAACATCATTGTGACAAGGGTACCAGAAGCATTTACCTTGAGCCATATATATTTATGGTACATTCATAACATAGAAGCATGCATAAATAAAATTGAGTTTTAGGCCAGCATAGCAACACAGTAAAGCTCAACCTAAAAGTACAATTATTTATAGTATTTTCTTACATGACCTAAATCAGTAAAATGTCAGTCATAATTTATTACTCAGATTGCAAGACCTGTTGTCATAACTTGGATGGTGCGAGAGGGTAGTAACAAACAAGGTTGGAGAAATAGTCAATTGTTGCAGCAGCATCTCACATCTTCATGGTTCAACTCCAAATTGTTCCACCTCAACTTTGAGAGACTTTAGGTACTTGACAGCTTCATCTAAAACAGTAACAGAATCCATTTGATTACCTCCACCAGGCACGATCTTTCTCAACATCCTCACCATCCTCTTTATCTCCCTGTTATTCCCATCATTAGCCTCAGAAGACTTGTGTACAGAAGATGATGACAGCCTCTTCTTCCTTGATTTTGAGCAATAACTGGAGCAAGTATCAGATAAATTTTCATAATTTTCATGAGTCCTTGCTGTGCTTATTTCTTCCTCATCAAAGTCTTCTAGTTCATCAGCTCCTATGCTCAACAATGCATCAATGTCATTAGGATCTTCTTCAAAAGGAGATGACAATTCTCTTTCCATTTGATTGACTTTATTCTTCTCAAAATCTTGAGAAAAATTAGCATGAACATTTAAGCCAGGACTATTAAATTTGTAGGTCATTGCAGGATTGAACATAATCCTACTTCGCTGATCTGTTTGATCAAAGATAACAAAATTCTTGGGGCATGCCTCAGAGGGTTGCAATTTAAATCTTTCAAAGGGTGTTATCTGCCCCACAGCTGGAGGTAAAAAAGCATCAAAGGCAGAAGCAAGTGGAGCATGCATATGAGCATTAGCATCAATGGAGTCATCTGCCAAAGGAAGTACCATCTTCTCCGGGAGAAAATATTCCTGAGTCTGCATTATATTATCTGTTCAATCTGACTGAATTTCAACAAGCAATGCTGATTTAGCCTATGCAACTGGCAATTATTCTGTACTAAAGCTGGAAGGAAGTTCCTAAAGGAATGTTAAAACTAAACAGCAGGTGCTAAGGTGATTCCAATTTCCATCTAACATCAAATGGCAACTTTTCCAAACTAAAACTTCATCTCTCTGGAGCTTTTTAATGATGAAGTACAATACAAGGCAATCCCCACCCCCAAACCAATGTCCCTCAAAGCTAGACTACGTAACAGGTTTTAGCAACTGACGAAAATACTCAGCCTGCAAAACAAAAATAGTGTGGTAAAATAGCAGTAATAGTAAAGGGGAAAACCAAAACTGAATTTGTTGTTAGCCACAATAGTTGCTGAATTTAATGGTGTTAAATACTACTAAATCTACAAGATGTTATTTACACAATTAGAGAAAACTTCCACCCCATTCAAAAGTATGTCTTATATTTTAAAAAGTTATCATTATCATAAACCTCCAACCCTGTTTCTTTGTAAAGCTATTGGCCACAATAAGATAATGAACCTCATAGATACTTTTAGAAACTAAAAGTGGGGAAGATGAAAAACTTACCTGGCAAACAAGCATCAATTGGTTGTACGCAATGACTCCAACACTCATTTTAATTTGTCCAACTTCCTTCACAGCTCGGTATCTCTTTATTGTTATGGCAAAGTACATCCTCAAATCCCCCAACAGCTTTGGAAATGAAATGGAGAAAAACTAAAAAAGAGTTCCTTTGCAACCTAATGGGACTGCACTTGCAACGCCAAGAAACAATATAAGATCATCAGATATGATATGACAGGTAAAATGTGAGATTCCATAAAATGTTCCTAAAATATAAACCTATGGCAGCTATATTCAATGTATCCTTTCACATATTAAGAAGTCTTAAGTCATAGGATCGATACATGTTCTCCATGAAACAAAAGTATTACACCAACATCACAGTTGTTTTCATTCCATCACATGAAATAGACATAAAACTATTACAAGACACGTTCCAATCAAAATTCCATCGAAAAAAAGAATAGTTCTACAAACTGTAGAGCAAATTGGCAGGACAAAATTCCTCATACCTGAGCAAAATAATTTACAGAATCACACGAAAAAACACCACCAAGCGAACACAATTTCTTTTGTGATCCACAAACAAGGAAACCCACGGCATCTTGACTTAGCTCCACTCCAGATTATCAGATAAGACAAACCCAAAAACCTGAACTGAACAAAGTGTCAAAGTAAGGCTTCATCTTAAAATCAAGAAGCAACCATCCATAAAAGAGACACCAAAGGACTCAAGAACAAAACATTCCAATCTAGCTCCAACATATTAAAACGAAAAGGCAAGATTTTTTTAGAAATAACAGTAAAGCATCACGATTATCCTCAGAAAAAACCTAAATCTAATCTGAATCACATAATCCATGGCTCAACTTGCATACCCATTAACATAAACGAATTTTCGCAGCCGACCACACAGTAAAGTTCCAAACTTTGTATCAAACTAAGCCCCCCACTAAAACAGAAAATCAATTTCAGAAAGAAAACCCTAGCTAACAGGAGAGCAAAACTCATCACATGTATATACCTTTGTTTTTCAAAAAAGAAACAAACTTTACTATACAGATCTTAAAACTGGAACCTCACCAGCACAAAAACAATTACTTTTACCAGAGTTGACCGCAACAACGTTTGAATCAAACAAATTGGAAGTCAAAGATCAAAGTGACAGATCAAAACCTAAGATTTTGGAAGAGAAAAAAACGAAATGAAAGAGGAATCAGTGAAGGGCAGTGACGAAGAAGAAGCAGAGAATTTCAGCCAGAATGCGTTTTGCCTTTGGGATCATTTTTTTTGAAGGAGAGAGAAAGAGAGAAGAAATGTGAGCCGTTGGATGGAATGAGCATGGTTCTTGGAAATGCACTTCCGTTTATTGCGGGTGTGATCTGAACCGTTGGATGAGAGCGCGCGTGAAGAGAAAAGTGGGACCCATNTGATAGATGGATGCAAGTGCTTAAGGCTGAGAGGTTTCCCTTCCCACTGTATTTATAATCTAAATCTAAATGTATATATCAGCAATTTGATATATGAAAAATTCTTTTCTTTTTACAAATTTTGGGACGCTACTGTTTCAATGCTGGTTGGGTATTTTTCAGACTTGAATAACTCCCGTCCGACTTGAATATGGCTGTTGCAGGGTGACCATGTTAGCCTGCTTGAAAGCTGAATTAATCGATCTCGAGAAAGATTTTTTTTTGTCCAAATCATGCTGACTTGACTATGGGTACAAATGGTCGTAACAGTTCTTTTTTAACTGCTAGGGAAAATGTGATTCAAATCCTGTACCCCTGAAATTCATCACGACATTTACAATTTAAGAACAAAATATGCTTCAATTTAAGCCTCTACCATGATGCAGGATGCATGATCAGATCCGTGATTTGAAATATGGTTCGTATTAATGGAACCTAATTAGGTTGGAACAGTTTCAAGATCCATAATCATTTCGTGTATTTTGTTTAATTCGATTTTATTTCAATTTGTACTGATGGTCCATCAAATGGAAAGGAAAAAAACTGAAAGAATCATAAAATATTAGTAGTTTGCTGAACAATTAAAAGATGGAAATTTTATTAAAAAACCGTATACGATTTGTTGTTCTAGGATATGTTTAAATAAAGGATCCATGAATACTTTCAGTAGAAAATAAAAACAAATAAAATGGTATTTTCTGAAGAGTTAAATACTTTTTATGCCGTTAAAAGTTATACCTTTCCAAGCTTAGTTAGTCCAACGATAGTTCTAATAAATTAATGCAAATTTTCTTTTTATTTTTGTTATTTCTTAATGACATTTATAGAAAGTTTTATCCCAAACTGCCCAGAAAACTGTACTTTGAGTAATTTATAAAAAATGCTTTTATTTCTCAATTCTTTAATTACCTTTAGAGCAATGCCGAGAAAGGAATACAAACAAAATTCAGAATCTTAGTGCCAACGGTTAGGCAACTCAATTGATTTTGAATCACTATGGGGCCTAAAACGGCTTAAAAGGTGGATGCCCACTGAAAAAGGTTTTTCAATGGTGCGCCACTAACACTGCAAAACTAATCGGGGGACAAGAGCACTAAAAAAACACAACAATGCATGCAAGACCATCTTTGTTGCTTGAAATTTACACTTTTACAAGAAAATATGGCACATCAAATATAGAAAAAGAAAAACAGTCAACCAGAACTTTAGCAGCCATGTTACATAACATATCAACATAAAAGCAGCGTTGTTTCTGGAAACATATTTAAAAGCACATGACGTCAACAATTACAAGAAACATACTTCAAACAGCGCACTATCAAATGAAATTAAAGCGGCGCTTGGCAGCAGCATATAAAACATCATTGTGACAAGGGTACCAGAAGCATTTAACTTGAGCCATATATATTTATGGTACATTCATAACATAGAAGCATGCATAAATAAAATTGAGTTTTAGGCCAGCATAGCAACACAGTAAAGCTCAACCTAAAAGTACAATTATTTATAGAATTTTCTTACATGACCTAAATCAGTAAAATGTCAGTCATAATTTATTACTCAGATTGCAAGACCTGTTGTCATAACTTGGATGGTGCGAGAGGGTAGTAACAAACAAGGTTGGAGAAATAGTCAATTGTTGCAGCAGCATCTCACATCTTCATGGTTCAACTCCAAATTGTTCCACCTCAACTTTGAGAGACTTTAGGTACTTGACAGCTTCATCTAAAACAGTAACAGAATCCATTTGATTACCTCCACCAGGCACGATCTTTCTCAACATCCTCACCATCCTCTTTATCTCCCTGTTATTCCCATCATTAGCCTCAGAAGACTTGTGTACAGAAGATGATGACAGCCTCTTCTTCCTTGATTTTGAGCAATAACTGGAGCAAGTATCAGATAAATTTTCATAATTTTCATGAGTCCTTGCTGTGCTTATTTCTTCCTCATCAAAGTCTTCTAGTTCATCAGCTCCTATGCTCAACAATGCATCAATGTCATTAGGATCTTCTTCAAAAGGAGATGACAATTCTCTTTCCATTTGATTGACTTTATTCTTCTCAAAATCTTGAGAAAAATTAGCATGAACATTTAAGCCAGGACTATTAAATTTGTAGGTCATTGCAGGATTGAACATAATCCTACTTCGCTGATCTGTTTGATCAAAGATAACAAAATTCTTGGGGCATGCCTCAGAGGGTTGCAATTTAAATCTTTCAAAGGGTGTTATCTGCCCCACAGCTGGAGGTAAAAAAGCATCAAAGGCAGAAGCAAGTGGAGCATGCATATGAGCATTAGCATCAATGGAGTCATCTGCCAAAGGAAGTACCATCTTCTCCGGGAGAAAATATTCCTGAGTCTGCATTATATTATCTGTTCAATCTGACTGAATTTCAACAAGCAATGCTGATTTAGCCTATGCAACTGGCAATTATTCTGTACTAAAGCTGGAAGGAAGTTCCTAAAGGAATGTTAAAACTAAACAGCAGGTGCTAAGGTGATTCCAATTTCCATCTAACATCAAATGGCAACTTTTCCAAACTAAAACTTCATCTCTCTGGAGCTTTTTAATGATGAAGTACAATACAAGGCAATCCCCACCCCCAAACCAATGTCCCTCAAAGATAGACTACGTAACAGGTTTTAGCAACTGACGAAAATACTCAGCCTGCAAAACAAAAATAGTGTGGTAAAATAGCAGTAATAGTAAAGGGGAAAACCAAAACTGAATTTGTTGTTAGCAACAATAGTTGCTGAATTTAATGGTGTTAAATACTACTAAATCTACAAGATGTTATTTACACAATTAGAGAAAACTTCCACCCCATTCAAAAGTATGTCTTATATTTTAAAAAGTTATCATTATCATAAACCTCCAACCCTATTTCTTTGTAAAGCTATTGGCCACAATAAGATAATGAACCTCATAGATACTTTTAGAAACTAAAAGTGGGGAAGATGAAAAACTTACCTGGCAAACAAGCATCAATTGGTTGTACGCAATGACTCCAACACTCATTTTAATTTGTCCAACTTCCTTCACAGCTCGGTATCTCTTTATTGTTATGGCAAAGTACATCCTCAAATCCCCCAACAGCTTTGGAAATGAAATGGAGAAAAACTAAAAAAGAGTTCCTTTGCAACCTAATGGGACTGCACTTGCAACGCCAAGAAACAATATAAGATCATCAGATATAATATGACAGGTAAAATGTGAGATTCCATAAAATGTTCCTAAAATATAAACCTATGGCAGCTATATTCAATGTATCCTTTCACATATTAAGAAGTCTTAAGTCATAGGATCGATACATGTTCTCCATGAAACAAAAGTATTACACCAACATCACAGTTGTTTTCATTCCATCACATGAAATAGACATAAAACTATTACAAGACACGTTCCAATCAAAATTCCATCGAAAAAAAGAATAGTTCTACAAACTGTAGAGCAAATTGGCAGGACAAAATTCCTCATACCTGAGCAAAATAATTTACAGAATCACACGAAAAAACACCACCAAGCGAACACAATTTCTTTTGTGATCCACAAACAAGGAAACCCACGGCATCTTGACTTAGCTCCACTCCAGATTATCAGATAAGACAAACCCAAAAACCTGAACTGAACAAAGTGTCAAAGTAAGGCTTCATCTTAAAATCAAGAAGCAACCATCCATAAAAGAGACACCAAAGGACTCAAGAACAAAACATTCCAATCTAGCTCCAAAATATTAAAACGAAAAGGCAAGATTTTTTTAGAAATAACAGTAAAGCATCACGATTATCCTCAGAAAAAACCTAAATCTAATCTGAATCACATAATCCATGGCTCAACTTGCATACCCATTAACATAAACGAATTTTCGCAGCCGACCACACAGTAAAGTTCCAAACTTTGTATCAAACTAAGCCCCCCACTAAAACAGAAAATCAATTTCAGAAAGAAAACCCTAGCTAACAGGAGAGCAAAACTCATCACATGTATATACCTTTGTTTTTCAAAAAAGAAACAAACTTTACTATACAGATCTTAAAACTGGAACCTCACCAGCACAAAAACAATTACTTTTACCAGAGTTGACCGCAACAACGTTTGAATCAAACAAATTGGAAGTCAAAGATCAAAGTGACAGATCAAAACCTAAGATTTTGGAAGAGAAAAAAACGAAATGAAAGAGGAATCAGTGAAGGGCAGTGACGAAGAAGAAGCAGAGAATTTCAGCCAGAATGCGTTTTGCCTTTGGGATCATTTTTTTTGAAGGAGAGAGAAAGAGAGAAGAAATGTGAGCCGTTGGATGGAATGAGCATGGTTCTTGGAAATGCACTTCCGTTTATTGCGGGTGTGATCTGAACCGTTGGATGAGAGCGCGCGTGAAGAGAAAAGTGGGACCCATGAGGTTTGACAATGCATACATAATGGAATCACTCCAGTCACTAGTTTCCATGTGGAGCAGTGTCTGTTTGTGGGATTAATTAATTAATTAATTAACTAAAATTTAATTATTTTTACTTGTTGAATGTATAAAGAAATTCACACTTTATCACTTAGATAATTAATGAAGTACTTCCTTTTATAGAAATTATTAAGTAATTATTACAGGTACTATTATTTGAAAAATACTTAGTTTACTAAGAACATTAAAATTTACACTACCTTTCTTTATTAATAAATATAACAGACTTATCAATATGAATCTATTAAAATTGAAGATTTATTTAGAAATGCTATGATAGTGTTATTTATGATGTAAGTAGTTTTTATTTCAGAGGATAAAGAAAAATGAACATATTCTTAAAAAATAAAAAAGGCTTTATTGAAATGACATCTAAAAACGAAGAGGACGTGTGAAAGGGAAAAGAAGACTTTATAAAAGATAAAGTTGGAGCATTTAAAGACAAATATAGAACACTTTGCAGGATTTGGACAATTCTTTTTTTACTTTCTTTCAAAAAAATAATTAAGGAAATAAACTTTTAGGTGTTACTTTTAATAGCCAAAACCTTAAAAATAAAAAGAATAACAAAATCTGACTTTTATAGTTTTTTCTTTAATTTAAAGATTAACTTTGTTAAATTTAAGTGTATTATAAATTTGTATATTTTAATAGTAAAAAAATAGTTTTATTATATTTACAAAATTAATTTTGTTTTTGTTTACGTACTATGCGGTTTTATTTTGATGTTAACGGAAAAATTTTATTATCATTTTTAGTTTATTTTAACTCATTAATTAATTCATTCTTATATAGATGATAATAGAGTTTATTGACGAGTTAGAAAAAAATAAGTTAATAGTAAATTAGAGATGAGAAGACATAAATAACGGTTATATATATTATCTCTATTAAAAATAAAATCAAAGGAAAAAAATACTTTAAAAAATAAAAAATATTTTAAAAACTCAATATAATATAAATAATTATTAAAAAATAATTAAAAGTATTAAATTTATGAATTATTTACAATTTAATTAATTCTTAAAGTTTCAAAAATATTTTCTAATATTCTACCCATATTACACCTAAGCTAAAATATATTTACTTAAAGTACTAGAAGTTTACATAATAATTAAAAAATGCAATCGATCAAAAAACATTTAAAAAAAATTAATGATCGATTTTAAAAATCCATTGAGATCCGTTATTATTTCATATAGTAGTTAAATATCAAAATTGTAAATTTTGAATTACAAATTTTTTAAACTACACACAGTTGCAACCGTTTTATATTTGAAAATACGGAAATTAGAATTGAATAAATCTAAGCTGTAAAATTTTAATTAAAAATTAATATGTGATGTTCAAAAGGCTTTAGTAAGTAACGCGTGTAATTTTGAATTTATAACTTAAGTTGGAGTTATTTAATTAGGAGTTTTACAGAGAATGAACCTTTCAATAGTGGGTTCTGACTCTGTATTGTTATCTATCTATTTTCTGAAAAAATTTTATTTAGTTTAATTTAATAGTATGTTTTATTTTTTATTTTTAATTCTTATGACTACTTTAGTCCTTAAATTAAAAAAAAAAAAATATATATCTCTATATTCTATATCTTATATATATCTAGATATATATAATATATCTTATATATATTTCTGCAATCTTTGTAACAAAAAGACATGATTTAAAATGCATGATGATGTAGAGTTTCTTAAGTATATGAAAATTAATTTATTTTAACTTGATTTTTTTTCTCTTATTTGAAAGCTCCCGACTCTCTTATGTTGAAAATTTCAATTTATAATGTGCAAACCTAATTCCTCCTTTTGGAAAATTGTTGTAGAGCCAATGACAAATGTATAATTAGAGTAAGTTTTTAGCTTAAAGAAAATAGTTACAGGTTTGAAATATTTGTTTGTGCACGTTAAATTTATTTAGTAGGGTTAAATGTTTATTGAATGATTGCTTTGTGTTTGGTTTTCCACAAACCTTTAACATTTTTTAAAAATTTTAAGTAATTTGTATTGTTTGGTTGTAATAATGTAGTTACACATGGTGGTACAGAAACAAATGTGAAACTTAAATTCAAATTATTTGATAAAACATTAAAAAGGAAGAAAAATATAATTTCATCACAACTTGATCAAATAAAAAAATCATAGTTTGAATATTCTTAATTGTGAATAATTATCCATGAAGCTCTTAAGATAACTAAGGAGATATTGAAGTTGTCTTTGTTGGATCAATAGAGGAGGAGGTTCCCACACAAGCACCAATAACATTTGAGTCAATCACCACTCTTTACCCAAAACCTTAAAGCAATGGGTTAATGGGTCTTTCATCTTTATATACTGCTCTACTTTCTCTTTTTTATCCAATGTGGGACTTGGACTCATACTTGAATACCCAATAGTCTTTAGCTAGTATCATTGGATAACATAATAAGTATATTTATCTCATTTTAGTTAGTATGCTATATTTTGACTTTGTACAATGAATTGATATGTAGTTAAAGAATGTATATATATTTTTATACTTAGAAGTGTTGTTTATTCGTTATATCCAACATGTATTTTAATTTTTCATTGACATTCTTTTTCTTTATTAAATTTGAGAAGACAAAAAAATATATGAAAAACATAACAATTCATATAAAGGTGTAAATAAGAGAAATTTTAAAATAGATATCGATAAAACAAATAAATAAATGGTACAAGTTGAAAATAATGTTCCATTCTAGAAAGAGGACAGATTTGAATATAACTTAAAAATACTTTTAAAAAGTATTTGAAGAAAGTCTATTAGACCGGCAAATGAGTCATCTACTGATTTATAAGCATGATCAAATACTTACTTGGATAAGATGTTGTGACTAAGAGTAAATGCAAACATATAATAAATAATAATAATGAATACACAATTTGCATATTAGTTCACTCCAAACTTATGTTACATCTAACTATGCTTTGCAAACTACAACAGGTTTCAACTAATCAATAAATATTACAAGAGTTATAAGTGTCATTTATAGCTTACAACAAAGTACGTCAAGTTACTCCTTCTTATCCAAATATACAATGTCTTTCTGGACAAAGTACATAAAGTCTCTAGGTTATATGTTAATCTTTGTTAAAATTAAGCACCGAGTAGGCAATGTCTTTGTAGACTATAAAAGGTTGTTTGATTACAAGGTTCATTTTCAATTGAAAGGAAATAATATAATTTTTTCTTTTTTTCAACCAAAAGCTTCCCTTTTATAGGTGTGAACATAAAATTGTTGTAGGTTAGGTGCTCATGGGATCTTGTGTCATAACTTTATCAAAAGTTCATGATTATTTGGCCTTCTATTGTTGTAGTTTGAAAATAGTGTAAGTCACTTTTTTTATTTCTATTATGCTTTTGCCAACAATACCATAATAGCATATTGAGCATATCGATGTTATCGAATGATATTTGTGTCATAATCTATCTTGAGAGCATTATTACTCAATTTAGTTATTTGACAGATGCAACATATGAAAGACATGTCTTGTGCTAAGAACTTGAAATTTGTGTCTAATCTATACGATATGTGTATAAAGGTTGATATGTCTTGAGTTTATGTGTAGTCTAGCTTATAAGACTCTTTTGGTCTAGTAGCATGTCATCTATTGATGCTTTCATAGTTGTGTCTTTGAGACTTGTTTTAACATGATATCACTTGTGTCTTGTGATCTTTTCATATGGAGCTCTGATGGATGTATTTTGTCTTCATCAAACTTATTACATGTATTTGGTGATTTGAACTTCATTCAAGATAAGCAAGTTTTTAAGAGACCTTGTTTCATCAAAGTTTCTTGTGTATTGATCTATAGTAATGTCTTCCATCTTATGAATTTTTTTGTTCTTGGTATACTTTTTTATCATCTTTAACTTTCATGTATGTTTTACACTAGATAAGTATGTTATATAAATTAAATAATGTTTTTTATATATTATTTGTAGTCCAATTGTTTAATGTTATTGGTTTAGTTTTTTCACAAAATATCTTAACTTTAAATTTTAACAAGTAAAAAAAATGTGACAAAAATATTTATATTAAAATAATTAACATAATTCAATTTGATTTAAAATTATCTTAATTTTTTTTATTATTTCTTGAAACTTTTTATTTAAATTAAAAATTAACTTTGACGGAATATTAATTTAACATTGTAATAACCCTAATTAATTGGTCATTTTTAAGAGACTATATAAGAAGATCCACTAAAGAGAAGAGGTTATTGAGGTTGGAAAGAATGAAAATACAAAGAGAAAACGGAGAGAAAAGGACCATGGTCAAGAAGATGATTACCATATATGTCTCTACCCTTTAGCTCAAACATATATCGTTTGATGCTTTTCAACCTTAGAGGAAGAACTTCATATGATTATAGGTTGTATTGTATTGTACTTATCATCTCCTTGAGAGTTATTAAATTTGTATTTGTAATCGAATAGTGAATGTGTTTGTATTGAACTAAACGTTATAGTCAGGATTGGCTAAGGAACCAATAATGGTTGACAATACCTGGTTTTAAACCATGAGTAATTATAATACTTAGCAACCAGGATTGGGTAAACTCAAACTAGTTAGGATTAACTAGGGATATTAGAAGTAGTTAGAATACTTAGATACTAGGAGTGGTTAAACTCGGACTAGTCAGGATTGACTAGAGGAACCATGAGTGATTTAGAATACTTGGACTAGTCATGATTGACTAGGGGACCAAGAGTTCTGATAATACTTGTAACCAAAAGCGAGTTAAAATTAGTTGTAATCTTGTATAAGATTAGTGAAACCTCTTAAGAGTTCTTGAGGGAGACTGAATGTAGCTCATGATGAGTGAA